ATATATTTTATTTTTAGAAAACATTATTTACGATATACACAAATGGCACAGTTGCAAACACAACTCGTCTGAGGCCCGATACAACCTACGTTATGAACGTTTCACTCAAGGTAACCGCACTAAATGGCTACGGAACACATGATCTAATGGAACGATAGATCAACGAATGAATTGATGAGTGAAATGCATGGGTAAATGATTGGAATGGATGGAATGAGAAAGATTAAATGCATGGGAGAATGAAGTGGGCGATGAAATGACTGAGAAATGGATGAGAGATTGATTATTTTGCTAATTCATAAACCTATCTATGTGCTGTAGGATAATGGCAGTCCAGCCTTACAGTCATATATGTCAGTAAAGGTCATCACATTACCAATTGAATACAGAACCATTGAACAATGGTCTACTAGAGTAAGTGAGAGACAAGCCTGTCATTACGCATGCCCATCGTAAAGGTCAAGACACTGTCCCACATGGGTCAGTAGCCTCAATAAAACATTGTTGAGTAATGGTCTACTAGACTAAGTATAGGAAACCTTGTCATTATTCATTGTCATTATAAACCTTTGGAGAAATTCCCACAAGAGACGTTTGTTGAGAATATAGACTGAATTCACACGCCGCTGATTCAGGAGCCGACGGGTTGCTGGGAGAAATTCAGGAAAAGCGAGAAATTCAGGAGGAAAAAACTATCCAGGCAAGGAGCTACTTTCTAAGAATTTTTGCCAGGAAAATAAAAATTTCCTACCTAAAAAATGTAAGCAGTTTTTTTGCCATAAAAACGTTATATAAGCCTTTTTTAACCTTAAAAAACGTTTGCCATGAACGAAATTATTTTAAAGAAAGAAGGGCGCCACATTTACTTTTGAGATTGTAAACAATGTAGCTCAAAAAATCCCTTTCGCAGGAAAACGTCCTTACAAGAACAGTTATTTAGAAGAACAGACCCCGTCGGCTCCTCCTGCTGATTCTCCCATTATATGATAAAAACTTAAATCCTGAGTGCATTGCTTTAGTATACTACTGAAGGAAATTATTACTGAATCACTTATTTCATAATTTTTCTAGGGTTACAACATTACTAAAATACATGTCAACAACGTCTGCAACATTACAACATATGAAGGTATGTCAGTTTGAAAAAGACAACAACAAAAACAGCTACTATTAAATATAAACAGAAGCACTGTTATAGAAAACGACCAGATGAGCAGAGAGACAAGATGTCCACAAAGCTCACGTTTGACCACTTATAACTCAAAGGACTTTACAAGATTTGATCAATCAATTTTGACGAATTTTGATGATCTACCCTCAATTTTTTTTGCCCTGTTATCCAAAATCATCAAAACATTACGACAATAACATGACCAAGAATTATAATCTAACAGTCCTATGACTTAACTTCAATTGTATTGTATAGGAGCTAAAAATGGAGTCATAGCTCTTGATCAAARAACATCCAAGATAAAAGTAAACAGACTTGTTACAGAAACAATTGGTAAAAACCTATGCATCTTGATTGAGGTAAAAAAGAATGCTCCTTTTCCATTATTTCTACTTTCTCTTTATATTTGATGATACACCTAACTGTGAAAACACAGTCATAGACATTTGTACTTTGGTTATAAATAAGTTAATCAACCAATCAGAATGTTCGAGTGAATCACTCGACCAATCAGAAATTTACCGGCCGCCATTTTGAATTTCGAATCGAGAACAAGGTCAAACAGACAGGGTCCATGCAGAGTATCAAAAACAAAATTTAAGGACTTTTCAAGGACCAAAATTGTATTTTCAAGGAACATCATAATCATGCTAATTGTACATTCTTAACTCACAACTTCAACCTAACAGAATAATTCAGAGAACGCTAGCGCTTTGTCATAGAGATCTATCTTTTTTCAAGGACTTTTCAAGGACTTTTTCGAAATTTTCAATTTTTCAAGGAGTTTCAAGTGCCCTTGAAAACGAGTTTTCAATTCAAGCACTTTTCAATTAAGGACCTGCACGGACCCTGAACAGACTTCGTGCCCAGGGGTATTTTTTCTGGGAGTGAGGAACGAACGACAGAAGATAACTCCTGGGTTTCCGAGGATGAAGAAAGAACTTAAAATGAAAAAGATCACACTCAGTCCGAATATCTAATTTTGTCTATTAAATGTATTCCTTTTCGCTAAATACAAATGTTGTATTTCTCTATGACAACGTTTGCATATCCCGCCCAGCTCGAGTGAAAGAAAGAACGAACGCGCAAGATTTTATGTAGACCCGCGAGGCACGGGATCATGACGTAATAACTCAGATTCTCCGCATGTTGCTAAGAGCGCGCGCCGATAACAAATGAATAAAAGCGTGCACATTCGTTTGTTGTTTTGTCTTTCACTGCAATAGTTGGGCGGCCTATGGTTTGCATAGTGTATATCTATTTATTCATTGAGTTATTTTTAAATAACATAAAATCATTAATTAAAATCATTTAATTTTTTTAATTTCTTTTAATCATTTATTCATTTATCTCTCATTTTATTATTCTATTTTTATAAGTAATAGCATGGCTCTGAGGGAGATTAGGGATTAAATGTCCCCGAAGCCGAGGGCAGATAAGTTGAAGTCCCGACGGCCGCAGGCCGGAGGGACTTTTACTTATCTGCCCGAGGCTGAGGGACATTTAATCCCTAATCTCCCGAGGAAGCCATGCTATTACTTTGTAATACCATGATTTCCGAGGAAAAAATTGAAGTTGAACCTGAGCGAATTTGAATTCTTGTTTTTTTGTATGCTCCAATGTTTTCAATTCATGCATGAATTGGAATATGACATGAAAAGAAAGGATACGCACTGTTCTAAGAGTATCACTCGCCGAACAACAGTACAAAATGATATTGATAATCCGACCATTGTTACTGATTTCCCACAACGAACTTTGTTTGAAATTGCTTTTCAGTTCTATTCAATGCTGAAGTTAACGAACCTTAACTTCAACCGCGAAAAGTTGTTTTTATATTTGCAAGTATGATGCCAAGAAGCTTATCAACTATTATCAAACATTGAAATTCGTCAAGTGCACATGCTCAGCGGTACGAAGTAGATACTCGGAACCAGAGCTACTCGGTCAATTTGTCCTAATAATCATCCCACATTTCAGTGTGAATGAGACGATAACCAGACCGTTCATTGCAGAGGTAAAAAGAAGACAGCTGTAGGGACATTCAGTTGTCCCTGCTGGGAAGCAAAGGTTTCCTTTGCCTTCCGTTCCTCATGAATAACATGAGGGACGATTAGTCTAATCGTCCCTCATGTTATTATGCATGAGGGACGATTACTAGTAATCGTCCCTCATCCCATTCATGAGGGAGGGATGTTCGCTTGTAAACATCCCTCGGAAGACAAAAGAATCCGAGGTGATCATGGATGGTATTACATTACTTATCCCGTCAAATCACTATTCATTCCTCCATTCTATCATGAAGTCATTTCTATAATCATCTTTTTCACAGACAATTTGCCCAGATTATAAGCTGAAAATAGCATACAGAGTAACAGTGACCTCAAGTAATGTCAACCCACATGTTGCTTACATAACGTTCAAAGTGACCAGAGCCAAATATTCAGAGCTGAATCAACTGAGTTTGTTGTTAAAGATAGAAAATGMGGTAAGTTATAACGAGCTGTTCCTTTGATTATCAGAATAYCTGCAGTAAAACTCATTCCAATGTTTATAGCTTTACARCTAGTTTTTTGACTGAGAGCGAAAATCACTAAGCGCAACTGTGGAGAAAMACTCTGGCAAAGCAAGGAAAAGATAGGAGGGGACAACTGGTTCGYGSAAGAAACGTTTCTGTTCTTATGTCCCAGCCARAGAAAGTAACAACTGGTTRCCAGCAAGAGTAWAGGGCACAACAAAAGAATTAGCACAYACACTCTATCTGCATTGTTTTCTTTTATGTCTATTTAACTATCACAGSTTAACGGTTAGATTTTGTTTCACGAGTAGAATGCATAATTATGCGCATGACCAAATTCATTAAAAACTTATTCACGTTTGTTGTATTACCAAAAAAAGATTGCATAAAATCCAATATCTCAAAGTTGTTCAGCAATGAGCTAACATATAACTCAATCAGGCAGTTTCTAATAATTAATTATATTCCAACAGACAGATGCCTGTATTGGTCTATCTAGAGGGGGATCACGTGTGCTTGATTTGAAAGGGTATGTTATTTACCACAACCAAGATTAAAAACACCTTGTTTTTCACTCTAAGTTTTTTTCTTCACTTTTCAGGAACAGTACTGYAAACGTCATCCTACAACGAACTTACTACAACGACATCGAATACAAAAAGATCAACAGCAGTACAACATATTCTTGTTTGAAGAGAACTTTATCTTTAGAAGATATAGGTATTGAAAACTYTGTACGTAAGACAAGGACAATATAGAAGTATGCTTACAATTCTTCGATGGGAGCAAAATGTTTCTATTGCTTCGAATGAGMAGCTCATAAATTTACGAGCTTTCACATGAATTTGTGAAAACAAAGAAAATAAACGCTTTTAGCGATCTCTTTTACGCTGTGTTACATATCCTCGAAACCATGTAATTATTCACTAACAGGTCGCATTTTGAAGTTGCCTAGCACTAGTAATTTCTGAAAAAACATCAGCGATGATATCCCGTTATTTCTGCTTTTACTGTATATTTTATACATACTTCAAATATGAGCAAAAAAGATCACAATCAAAAAAGGTTGTCGGATAAAATGGCGAATGTCAATTGTCGAACGGTGATTACACGACCGAGAGTAGCCATGGGTTTTAGTACTCGATGAGAAATAACAACTGATTTATACTGTAAGATGGTCTGTGGTAAACATTGGCTCCATTTAGTCTCCATTTCTATGCAAGATAAATCCAATAAGTGAAAATTTGTTTGTCAAAACAGTAACCATAGCCCCTTTCGGTCGTGCAATCTCCCTTCGACAATCGCTGCCGCTCGCCCTTCTCCCCGACAACGTTTTTTGAAAGTGTATACCATTGAGCTGATAGATAAAATAATTGTTTTTAAGTWTTCTCCCAGCATGCTCCAACTACAACTCGTCCCACTGCCATTGGAACAACTACAGAGAGAGAAGTAATAAAGAACAACTCGATCACCGCTCCGACTCATGGGACTACAACTCATGTGCCTGATACTTCTCCACCAAGTACTCAGCCCACTGAACATCGTCCTTCCCCCACAACGAAACCAAATGATCCGTCACCAACTACTGGGATCGCTGAACAGTCAACACTTTCTCCCACCACTAAATTCAAACATAATAATACAGACGGTTCGGATTCAAAAACTGATAGCACCAAACACGTTTCTACCACAAACACAGCGACCAATGCAGTAATAGGAGTTCTCAGCACCATTGTGGCTATTTTCATCGTCTTTTTAGTAATAAAACTTGYGAGAAGAAAAATCAGACAAAAACGAGAAAGAGAATGCCTTGAAATGACACAGGTATCATTGCTTACATTATTGCCATCATTACTACTACTATTAACARTCTTGTTTCCCTAGATAAATAGTCCAGAGTTGCCATGGAGAGAGATAGATAAAGCATTYATAGCGACTGGTAAAGAGCTCGGTTCAGGGTTCTTTGGTATCGTCTTCCAGGGCACAGTCATCTTRGATGGGCAGTCAGTCAACTGTGCTGTCAAGACRCTCAAACGTAATGCTTTTACTAAATTACTTCTTGTGCATCAACCACACTTGAATCATATGACTTTTCCTTGCACGAATCCACACTGTGGAACTAGCATGAAAAGATTACAAAGTATGTTGGCATTCACATTTACCAAAAGATGTTTATCAGTATTAATATACGTGATTTCCAGCATCTGTCTTTGTTTTGGCCAGGAAGGCCAGTAACTGAAACCAAATTAATCATAACTTGAATCATATGACTTTTCCTGGCACAAACAATGGTAATAGCAGGAATAGATTACAAATTACTATTGTGCTGCATCCACATTTACCAAG